CAGATGTAATCCGTATATACCTTACACACTGATCTCTTAACTTATCATATTTATTCCAAAGGTGATAACTATGTCTGGGACCCTAACATGCAATGAAACAACTTAAATCTAGGCATCATGCATGTGAATACCTAAATCCCTTAAACTCAGGCTCTGATACCACTTTTGTAACAACCCCAAACTTACATTGCATATAACACATAATCATTCATAGAATACATGTTCAATCCCACAAAGGTCCATAATACAAGAGTCTATATTACAAAATAGTCGACTCAAAAATTTCAAGATACATGCTCTTGTATCCACAACATCTATCCTCCAAAACATATTCAAATATGATCTTCATATAGCTAAGCTTATAGGGAAATAATTCATATTTTTCCTTTTCCTTTACTATCATTATAATTTACATTTCTTGCAACACATATATGAAAATACAAAATGAAGGTTAGACCTATAAGTCTAGTGAGATCCCTTTTTCCATGTAGTTGCTGGGTAATAATCACCAAAACATTATTCAAATAAAAATATTTCACATCTCAACATGTAAATCCACATTCTGTTTGAGTCCATCGGACCTCTGGTTCCAAAGACCAGACTTAGTAAATATTTCAACAAATAAGAGGACCAGAGCTCCTCTGGTTCCTCTACCAAAGCTTCTGGTTAAGCCAACCAGAACTTCTTACTTGGGTACAATTCTCAAAACATTCATAAATCAACCTCACAGATAATAAAATAGCTTTCCCAAAGATAAAAACACATTTTGAAGAGAATTTTATATGATCAGAGCTCTGTTCTACTAGCCAGAGCTTCTAGCTCAAAATGCAAGACCAACCAGAGCTTATGGTTCACCCGCGTAGGCCAACCAGAGCCCCTCTCGTCTGTCTTACTTTTTATGAAAAGCTTCTAAGTATACCACCTTTTTGAAAATTCTTTTAAAGTATAATTTTGACACAAAGCTCTTATCTATAGATACAGAGCCTCTGGTTTTGACTAAAACATTTAGTAAAGACTTGCATAATTTTCCCAAATCAACGTCTAGAACCCTCTAGTTCTACTACGAGGACCAACCAGAGCCCCTCTGGTTCCTTTCAAGGAACAACCAGAGCCATTCGGTTCCTCTTTAAACCAAACACTTGTTCCAAAACAGAGTTTACCCAAAACCATTGGCCATAGGCCAAGTTTTTTCCTTCTCAATTGTAACATCACGCTAGAGAAAACCCCAAATTACCAATCTTAAAAAATTTCTAATAAAATATAATTTATTGATTATTAGGACCGAAAAATGATCCTAATTATTCTAAAAGTTTTGCCAAAACCATCAGGGCCAAGGATGGAAAATCTGAAAATGTTGCTGAAACAACTAAGTTTGGAAAAAAGACCAGAGGCAAAGCATTGGTTCAGAGGCGACGCATTGGTCCAGAG